ACTGGGCCCGAGCATCTTATCAGCTTGGGCCCCCGACAGGAGCTTAAGGCCCTCCATTCAAATAAGAAATACCTGAAGCCCCATGCGGAGGGCCCCGAAAGATGGAGTGTACCTGAGCAGGTTATCAGATGACCCCGATACAGGCAGAGGGCCCTAGATTCAAATACTGAGAACCGATTGTGCAGGGTCCACCAGCAATGCAGTGTGGGCGAGGAGGCGAACAGAGGGGCCCCCGACAATTGCGTAGGGCCTTATTCAAATAGCATGTGCCTAAGGCCCAATATAGAGGGCCCTCCGAACGATCGAACGTGCCCGAGCGGATTATTAGATAGCCCTCCCCCCCCCCCCACAGAAGCGTAGCCCCCCACTCAGAAAAGAAGTACTAAAATCCTGGTGTAGACGGTCCTCAAACGACTGAGTGTGCCCAAGCAGGCCATTAGATGGTCCCCGTAAGAGTGTAGGGCCCTAAGCAAGTGACAGAGAATTGGAAACGCCCTAGACCAATGTAGAGGACCCATGGACATATCGCAAATGTGTCGTTAGGTTAACCGATACCACGTAAAGGGCCCCTGGGCAATCGAGAATACCCCGGCAAGTTAAGATATGGGATTCTGGCTACCGCTCACGGAGCCTTTCTGGCGAATGGAAATAATCCGTGGAAGGGCCCGTGATTGACAAGAGTTCCCCAGCACGCTAACAGGAAGGGCCCCAACAACAGCGCAGGGCCCTCGGAGCAAATGCCAAGAAATGAAGGACACCGTGGAATACTCCTAAACCGAAATGAATCTGCAAGTGACGTATAGGTCCCAGGAAACAGCATGGGGCCCATAGACAGTGTAATAGGGCTTAAAATTCCCATTTCACAACTTTTCCAATCATTGAGTAATTTTTGGGACCTCTTATACGCCCTTCACTTTCGCTTACAACTGTTCTTGGTCGCCTGAAAGTCCAGAGACACCCAGTTTCGTTGCGTTGTGTTAAAAAAAACTGCAGCTGTTCGGCCGGCTGTCGGCCCCCGGAGCCAATGGGCCCTTTCGTGGCCCAGGGGGGGGGGGGCATGCCCCGTGGCCCCCCCTCTCTGGACCCGCCCCTGCTTGTTACCATATGTTTTGGGGGATACTTTTGTTATTTTCCACTTTTTTGCCCCTCCTCCGAACTCAGTTTGCCCTTGATGTCGGACTGTCGTGATGTCGGACTGCCTTGGAGTCACAACGTTCAGACTCTGCTCCAGATCAAGGCGTGGCTGGAGATATCTTCTCCTCAGGACCTTCTAGCCAGAGCGCAGCTGGCGATACCCGCCCCGTCTCCTCCGCAGACAGCTCCAGGCAAGGCGTGGAGCTGTACTTACTTACCATTCTGCTTTTCCACGAAAAGCAGAATGGTAAGTTACGCAGTTTCGCTCTTGATGGCTCATCGCACTTGCGATAGCTGCGATGCGACGACTTACAATTAGGATATTACATGGCGGGCGATGGTTTACACCTCACTTTCGCTCTCTCGCTCCCTCACCGTCGCTCTCTCGCCCTCGCGGTCTCGCACTCGCTCTGTCGCTCTCTATCGCTTTATCGCTCTTTATCGTTTTATTGCTCTTTCGCCTTCTCTCTCCCTCTCTCTCTCTCTCTCTCTCTCTCTCTCTCTCTCTCTCTCTCTCTCTCTCTCTCTCTCTCTCTCTCTCTCTCTCTCTCTCTCTCTCTCTCTCTCTCTCTCTCTCTCTCTCTCTCTCTCTCTCTCTCTCTCTCTCTCTCTCTTTCGCCTTCCCTCCCTCCCTCCCTCCCTCCCTCCCTCCCTTTCTCTCTCTCCCTCCCTCCCCTCTCTTTCTCTCTCTGCTTGTCAACAGTGAGTGTACTACCAACAGTGCAGGCCAATATGTGGCTTCGAGTTGACCGGCACTCGCCTGCGAGCTTAAAACATAGCTGCACCTTCTTCAGCGTATAAGGATTTGTTCTCCTGGACCTACAGCGGACAGAAACGTGCGACGAAGCACCTGGTGAAGGCGTTTGCAAATTGTCATGTCAACCCGACACCGTCCGGCACGAAGGCCCATTAATTCGACGGGAAACGGCCCATGTCACGATTCCTATGTACGCAATACGCTGTGGCTTTAAACGAGAAAGATTGAGCCGTGAAGAGCATAGAAGTCGCAACGTAGTGCACTGTAACCGGCATTGAGATGAAACACAGTCGCACTTTTCGTGATACTTTGGGCACCATGTACTAAAAGTATGCACAGGTCAGAGGTCCCACATGTCGTCGATGATAATTCTCGGGCACCATGCCCAAGGACAGCCCATTTTGAGGTAAAGCCATTGAAACAGAAGCCCGCGCACGCTACAGGTAAGTGCACTGCTGCCTGCAAAGAATCAGAAACTAATGCTGCAACGCGGTGAGGAAATCTAAGTGCACAATTTTACATGGGTTACTGGCTTCATATGTTTTAGTCTTGGGTCATTTCTTCCAGCGTAACGTTCACTTCTGCCATCATCTCGCGGGTTCCGTGGTGCAAAATACATCTTACTGGCCCTTGCTGCAGCCATGCTACGCGGGATTATCAAGAACTCATCGAAGGAAGGCCTGTTCGGTGAAGAGGACGTACGGGCCTGGGATGTCATCCACCTCGGCAGGCTGAAAGCGAATCCAGATGTACTGCTATCTCTGGGACATCGCTTCACCCGACCTGCGTGGAAGATGCTCCTGGCTGGGGTGGACCAGTTCGATGAAGAACGTAATTGGTTGTGTGGTTGTGGGGAGGACCACCTGGTTGGTGCCTCCATGCAATGTGGTGTGTGTGAAATGTGGTTCAACATGCGCTATTCTGTTGGTTATGTTAGGGGTATGGGTGCATGTATATGTTCACTGTGCAAGTAGCGGTAGTTTTCCCCAGAGCATAGGCTGCCCTGAGTGGCAAGTGAAAAGTTCAGCCATTTTCTTTTGGACCTCAGAGAACTGCTACATTGTTTTAAGCCGGCCGTATCAGATGCAGTACGACGACCTGCCCAGTAGGTCCTCTTCACCGAACATCAGTAGGTCATCATCGATCTGTGAATGTCATGGCAGCATGGGTGCACTTGTTTGGGGGCAGCATATTGGTTCATTTTGCATAGCTGTGCATAGTTACATTATAGTGGGTTGATGAACAGTTACTTTCTTTTGGCGCCAAACGTGAGGTTGTTGCGTTCGGATGTGGTGTCATGTCATGTCCCTGACTTGCTGTGACACGGCTGACCAGCGGTAGTGGATGCATGGCTTTAGCTGTCATTTCCATTTAATATACATATGTGTATTATATATTATGCTTTACATATGCATTCTATAAATTATCATTTACTTGCCTTTATTACACCTTTGATAGAATTGGACTCATAGAGCAAGTTATCAAGCCTGGACCTGAAAGCATGCAATGGAACAGCCGCAAAAAATGTCATATCTGATCACTTTCATGGAAATTACATATCAATCACATGTGCTTACATGCACTCATATACCTCAGGAAGATGATGTGATGATGAGAGACTGACGTGACATGGGATTCAGTCCCCAAAACAACCATAATTTGTAATCAGATGAGATTGCAACCTAAGCCTACACATAAATATTCACAGCATTATGTTTGCTAGCTGTCAGTTGTACTGCTCATATTTCATGCCTCAAAATGATTTCAAACAAAAAACAAAAAAGAGGCTAGTCATCTGAGTAGTGTCTGGATTAACTGAAGTGATGCATCAGCTTTACAACACATAATAACAATAATGTGGTATATTTTGTACCACCAGGTTCATACCTGTCTTCAAAAATGCAGCTATAGAAACACAACACACACAATCAAGCATGGTGCAAGACAGCAGGCAAAGCACTCAACTCCCTGCAACTAGCGGCCCAATGCCGCCTTACACTAAAATCATGGAGAAAAAACCTGTGCCTTTTACATTACCAACATGTTAACAAATGGCTACCGCACACACAAACAGCATCGTGTACAATACACTTCTTTAGCTTTCGTGCATACCACACAAAGGCTTCAAACACATAATAACTAAATCCAACATGCACCGCCCCCAGCCCCCACAAAACATTAATAAGATGAACTTAGAAATAGCAAGCGACACGCAGCGACGTGAGTCAAGGTTGGTGAACTCATTTGTCTCTTTCGCGCCGCGCATTTGGCTCTTAGCGAAAATGAATACAAAAGGAACGCAAAAATGAAGTAGCGATACACAGGAATAACAGGGGCTGGCTGTCTTCTAGGATTTGCGGTGAACGTAGGGGCGGTGCACATATCCTTTCCGAGGTTTTTGGAGAGTGCATAAGCCCGGTACGCAGCCACCTTCTATTTGGAGGGTGTGTAAGCCCGGTGCATGACCACCCTCCGTTTTGGAGGGTGTATAAGCCCGGTGCGTAACCGCCCTCCGCTTTGGAGGGTGTATAAGCCCGGTGCGTAACCACCCTACGTTTTGGAGGGTGTATACGCACAGCCATATATATATACATATATATGCATGATGCTTCTTCATTGTTTCCAGACCATGCTAAATCTTGCCATTTTACGGCCAAGTATTTCGTGAAAAATAGGCAAAATAGGTTAAAGTCAGTTGCTATAATAACTAACTTCACTGGCAACAAGTATTTGTAAATACCATCAATATCAAGCATGAACGTACTTCTTGGCTTTTTGACGGCTAGCGCCTGGTCGATGTGATCAGCTGATGGCTGGTGGCTAATGTGCAGTTTTTG